CATACTCTCTCTCAGCACCCTAACACTGTTTTATTTAGATACATTTGAATAATTACAAGGAGGCCCTTAGTTGGGCAAGAATTTACAAAGAACTTAATATTGATAGGATGGGCCCAGAATAAGGCCCATTATAGAAAAGATACATAAATAACAATAAAGAATAAACAACCTATGGGCCATTTGGCCCATCTTCTCTACAGAAACAATGTCAGGTAGATAATTCCGTGTTCAACCATGACTCAAAAGATGGGAAAATCTTGCTAGTGGTGTATGTGGACGATATTGTCATAACTGAGAGTGACAGTAATGGGATTGATAGGTTGAAGAACTTCCTACAGGATCACTTCAACACAAAAGATCTGGGTAAGCTAAAGTACTTCCTGGGAATAGAAGTTGCAAGGTCAAGACATGGAATTAACTTATGTCAAAGGAAATATATCCTTGACCTACTTGAAGAAACATGGTTGTTAGGTGTCAAACCAGCCGAGACACCTATGGAACCAAATGCTAAGTTGAGTGTTGATGCAAGTGAAGAGTTTGATGATCCTGGAAGGTACAGGAGGTTGGTGGGAAAATTGAACTATCTGACTATCACGGCCAGATATATCATTTGTTTTAAGTATGGTGAGTCAGTTTTTGCAACATCCTAAGATTCCTCATTGGGAAGCAGTTCTAAGAATTTTTAGGTATCTAAAGGGTGCTCCAGGTCGTGGTCTGCTATACAAAAGTGGAGGAACTCTTGAGATAGAAGGGTATACAGATGCTAATTGAGCTGGTTCTATGTCAGACAAGAGATCAACTACAGGATATTGCACCTTCCTTGGTGGCAATCTGGTAACTTGGAAGAGCAAGAAACAAACAGTGGTGGCAAAGAGCAGTGTAGAAGCTGAGTATAGAGCTATGGCTCATACTACATGTGAACTAGTATGGTTGAAGATTTTGTTACAAGAGATGGGGTTCTCAGTTGACAGACCCATGAGGTTATATTGTGATAATCAAACTGCTACACACATCTCTTTTAATCCAGTATTCCATGAGAGAACAAAGCATATTGAAGTCGATTGCCACTTTGCAAGAGAAAAATTGATTAGTGGAGTCATAACTACATCTCATGTGAGCTCAGGAAACCAGTGAGCAGATCTCTTTACAAAGGGGCTGTCTCGGGGCAGAGTAGATTACATATGTGACAAGCTGGGACTATATGACATATACTCTCCAGCTTGAGGGGGAGTGTTAGAGTCAACAGTACAGGGGTATTTTGGTCTTTTGGTTTATCTAGTTACAAGTGAAAGGTCTGTTTTATTCAAGTTTAAGTTATGTGTCCCATCACTTGTAAGGGACAATACTGTCTTTTTGTAACTCAACTTATTCAGTATAAATACAAAGTGGGTCAGCTAGAGAGTGTGACTTTTTCCTCCACTGGTCGAACCCTTCTTCTTCTTCTTCTTCTTCTTCTTCTTCTAACCTAGAACTGAATATGATTATTTACAAATTACTGATAAAAATTTAAGAGAAAACAAACATAAATTGATTAAAACTGTGAAGGAGATCAACACATGTAAGACAAAAGCAGCACAGACAACCTTTCTTTTGATAACCCAATTCAAACTACTATAGCATATTAAGACAAAAAAAGAATGGCAAAAGCCGCAAACCAATTGATATTGACAGAAACCTGTTGCAACAGATTTTGATCACCCAACCAAATCTCAAGTAGATTATCAGTATCGCCGAGTATCCAACAAAATCTAGCCAGACAAGCAGCAGTATCTCCTCTTTCCAGGTGTTCAATGCATTGAAATAAGACTATAGAGTTATGAGTTTTAAGTTTACAAATACTCACCAAAGAGTCAACACCTTCTTTATTCTCAACTGATTTGTACAGTGACGTTGGTAGTGGAACTGAGGATGTCAACTCTTTCAAACCATCCTGCTGTTGAGCTAGACGTTTGGTGATTGACATCCCAATATCACAAATTGCATGTGAATTCTGTGATTTTCAATGACCATGTCATACAATTACTCAGAAGCTAGAAGTAAGATTGGGTGAAAACTTTTGTTTAACCAACACAAGGATATATTAAGGGAAACAAACTTCCTACCTTAGACTTCACCATATCAACTATATCCTCTGAGGATTTTATGCTGTGAAAAATGGAGATGATTGTAGAAACAGTCTCCTTTTCTTTGCTGGTATTAGCATCTGATTTTCCACTTTTGTCTTCATGTACCAGTGTAGAAAGAAATAAATACAGCTGCCTAGAAAATACAGACAAAAGATATAATCAAAATATGATGTCTTCAGTATCTTTTGTTATCTATTCATGCATATGACCTGGGGATATCATCTCAAGCCACATTTCCAAGATAGATGTATTCATAATGAGTTTCATTCTGCTAAATCAAACAATCGACCAATGAAATCTTATAATTTTGGATCAGGTATATGAAGCCCATTTCATCATGCTCTGCAATCAATCATAATGTTCCTAGAATCTCGACCACAGAAGCACATGAAGTCATGAAGCCATTACTATTAATTTGTAACTTTGAATATAGTTTTTTTAATGTTCTCAGAAGTATGAATTATTAGATAACCTTTGTCGCCACAAAAAATCAATGATTTTTCTCAAATAAATCTTATGTCACTTGCAATGAAGACAAGTTGTGTTTCTGGAAGCTGAGTAAGCGACATCTTGTTAGGGAAAATACTTCAAGAAAATGCATGCGATTGATAAACAGAAAAGTAATGTTATTTTCAAAATAATAAATCCATGCATTCGATAACAACCATATCTTATTCAACGACATCAACAAAAAGAAGATAAATGTAGATAGCAGCCATACCGGTATATTGGTTCAAATGCTTTAACATCGGTGCATTCATCAATATTAGGAAATGAAGGGTGATGTGCAAGAACATGGACCAGGTATGGGAGTATGCATTCTGGATAAGCCAAAAGTGGATTTGAGTCACATTGCATAGAAAGTTGTCGTGCCCTTGCTTGGTGACACATCTGAATAACTTCATCTAGGTTATGCTTGTCCTGTCAAAAGGAATAAGGATAAGGAACTCAAGTAAAAAGAACCAGCAAAGACTCTTCTGCATTCCACCAAGATGGAATAAATGGCATACTAGTTTATAGTAAAATAGAAGAAATACTATGAATAATTTCAAATACATTATAACTAATCAGAATATTAACCTCTTTTGAGTCTGGCTCCTGATATCCAGTTAAATTTAATAAGAAGGCACAAGCGTACTTTGCATCAAGAAGCCGATCCTTTATATATTGATGTACCTTCCCATGGAAAAGTTTCTTAACTTGAGGGTAGATAGCCTGTGAATCAATGAAAGCAACTAACATATGAAGGTAATAACCAAAGATAAACAAGAACCACCTTAATAGATGACACTCTAGAATACAATTTGGATTGGAGAAGATTTAACCTCTGATGTTGTCAATGTTAAATGAAACACATTGATGGGTATTTTGTGATCCCAATGCCTTGACAAACGAAGAACTGCTTTTGCTGAAGCAAGCTTCAAATGGGCCTTATCAACAGGACTGCCAGATAACCACAGACAACCAAAGAACAAAATAAAAGCAAACAGAAATCACATGAGATGATCAGATATACTCTTGCACAACAAGCAAACAATAAGTCAGAGGAACCTTGGTTTCTTCTTCTAGAAAATAAGACCAATGCATAAACATTAAGAGTACCTTGATTCTATGTCTTCTGAAATCTCCCCAAAAGTAAGAAAATTTTTAAGGATTCCCAAGAGGTTTTCAATCCCAAGACGCAAATGAGCATCTTTAACAGGCAAGTAGCTTTTCACCAATGTTTTAATACCAAAAATCTGAAGATCACCAAGAGATTTTAAATCCTCATGTGAAGGAATTTGTCATGATAATGCATGGAGAAAAGCAAAGAGCAAAAATTGACAGGAATATGTAAATACCCTAAAAGAAAATCACTAGAATTTATCATTATATGCCACTGATGAGTCATGGGTGCTGGAACAAAATACAGATCTAGCCATCATGACTAACCTTCAAAGAGCAAAGTTCACTTCTATCATCCCAACAGGCTTGATTGCTTTTCTCTGCTTTCTGGAACAGAAAAGAGAAACAATTCAGATAGAGCTAAAGATCATTTTTCCAATAAATACTATATAGCATGCATATGCCTCATTAATTGTGGAACATACATTACTGCACTCAAAAATTTTGTTTCTTATAAACTCTATGATCTCACTCTCTCTAGTTTCAAAAACCGGCATTGCAGTCTGAGCTATACAACCCAGAGATTGTAGGATGGCAGGAAGATGTGTTTTCTCCTCTAACATATCAACAAGCCTCTGCAGATGCAGTAAGATGCATCAGGTCATCCAAATCTAAATATGATCACAAGAAATAGCATATTTCAAAGTTGAACTGAACTACTATAAACGAGAAGAAAAATATGAGAAATCAAACCTTGTATAGAACAGAGAGTGATTTGAGCCCATCATCTTTTGTTATTGCTGCCAGGGCATGTACAGCATATTTAGCCTGTACTCGGTTACCCTCCAAACATAATCTCTCTAATATAAGATCTACAGAACTGCATTTGGATAACCATGACAAAAAAGGCATATTTTGGTTAAAAAATAATTAATAAATAAATAGAATATCAGCAACTACAATTCAACAATTCAAGGTTCACACCTAGAAGTCATTGCTAATTGTTGCCGGATGGTTCCACCAGCCCTTGCCAGAACATGCAAAACACCTTCTTTAACTATTTCATTGTCCTCTTTAAGAAGATTCACCAGTTCTTCTTCAACCCCACTTAATAGCAATGGAGAAAAACGGGCAATAATCTGAAATTTGTCATCAAAAGGCTAAGAAAAGGTATTTGCAAATATGGAGACATGCCTTACAAGACTAAGCTATATCAAGACTGCAATAACATTGAGAATTAGATAGTTATCAAAAAAATTAACATTGAGAACTAGACTAGTGCAAGATTCTTTCATCTCATAACAATAGTAAGCCATAGAGTATTATGCAGGTCCAGGTTTGTTTACACAAAAAAAAACATATATATGTAGGATCTACACATAACTTTTATTCATGATAGTGAAAAGCATAAACAGTTCAATGCATTGCTGCTATCTACAAAAAGGACCACTGATGGCACATCTCCCACAAAATCTCAGTATGAAGGATGAACTACAGGCATCATCTTGGTATCCACCAATCAGCAGTCCTCTGCAGCAAACTCTCCACTTTGTGGCACCCATTGCCAGCAAATCACACCACAGATTGATAGAAAGGAATTCTTTCAACAAGCCAGGAACCGCCTATCATACAAACAGTTCAGTGCATTCCTAGCCAACATCAAGGAGCTGAATGCTCAAAAGCAATCTTGGGAGGAGACCTTCAGGAAAGCAGAAGAGATATTTGGTTCATATAACAAGAATATTCAATTATCAATTTTCCAGAGAAGTTTCATGATTATAGGTTTTTTTAACAGGTAAAGTAATGATTGTATTAATATCAAATTGAAATTACATCAAGGCCCCATGGCAAAACACTTGTATACTTCTATACACAATTTTTCTTTTTGAGAAAAATTAACTGAACTTCTATACACAATTTGTTAGCAGGATATTAACAAAAAAAAATTAAAAAGAAAAAAAGTGCCCTGTCAAAAGATCTGCTGTATTCCAAACTTTAAATTCCCTATCTACTGATAGCCAAGAACATATCTTTCCTTTGATTCCCCCAGCACCCCTTGCTCATCTGCATAGAGGTTCTGAAATATCCTGTCGTTCATCTCCCACTAAACACACCAAAAACAGCCAGTGGAATAAAGCTCCAGACAATTCTTCAATGGTTCCCAGTGAAGAAAAGGAAGTTGATTAAGGTAACACTCTTAGGTGAACTAAAGAATGTTGGTTAAAGTTAGTGTTGAACTATGAAGTTTTAACTACATGTAATTTCCTATTAATTGTTACCCAGATTCCGTGGTGTGTGAACATGCAATAAAGATTAACTGGCAGCTATGCTGATCCTCAAGTCTTTGTTCTAACTGCCATTGTGTACAAATAGAGTGAAGCGAGGATGAGGCATTGTTATACTAATCTTGAGTTGTTTTAGTTGATTGGAGAGCATCAGCATGATTGATCTGATGACTCCATTTGCTTGTGGGGTATGCTTTGTTGTAAATAATTGCTTAGTTTCATATGTCCCCAAAGCCTATTTAAATTCACTTTGATGGTCAGAGACAATTTGTTTACCAATTTACAGTCATGAATTCACTTACCCTTGTAAGGAAAATTTTATAGTGTATCAAAAAGTAAATAAATAATGAAAAACATGAACTTAAAAGTATGGAGCATATTCTCAGACCAAGAATTAAGTCCAGTTTCTTCCCCCTTCAGTTAGAGGAAGAGTGAAACCTTTAATTTTCAGCTTGTTTCAGGATCCTTTTTCCCCTGCTAGTGTAGCTTTCTTAGCTTATTTCCCTTCAGCCCATTTTCTTTAATTAATGAAGTTTTTTGTTACCAATAATACACAGCCACATATACACACACAAAATGACATAGCAGATCAAATAACTGCAAAAATCTTCAAATGCCTCAGCATGCGAGCTCATTTCAGGTTCTAGCAAAAGCTGCATGTTGAAGAAAACCTCATACATGGGACACTCAAGCTGATATGAGCTATTATTTGACCTAGTATGAGATCCACTTTACAGATTGAATCATTGGGCAGGAGCTAAGAACTGGCCAGTTTTGATGGATTTAGCCTAGCTGACCTTCAACTGGTCTCAAGGGCAAGTGCCATGGAATAGTTTCTAAAATGAGCTCTTTCAAGATTATCAAAAAAAAAAAAAGATCATGCAATAGGTCAAAAGCATACAAAGGTCCAGATAGACGAAAAAGGACAACCAAAAAGATACTAAATAAGCCAGAAAAAAAGGGAAAAAACATGCAACTTGGGATAATGGAAGTCATTGGCCTTCAAGTAATTCAAAGTCAAACAGTGATCACAGGACATGTTAGAATAGCAAACATAAGGAGCACCCCTTAAGACCTTCAAATTTAATGAAAGACATTCACAGAAAAAGAGAAAAAATAACAAAAAACTAAGAAGCATTCACATGATTTTTTAAATGAAATGAAATATAAACTGTGCAAGAGAACATCACTATTTGTGTCAACTGGGTTAACAGATCAGCCAATGAATTGATCGATGCTATGGCTAAGCAAGGGTTCAAGCAGAGGGCAATTGTTCTAGGGACCAGTATGAATTCATGATGTAACAGCAACTGTTATATTTTTCTATATACAAGAGGGAAGGTAACCGCTAACTATCCTTATCAGGGATACCTGACACCTTGTACAGATTTCATTATCCTATTCTTTGATAAAGTACAGTAGAAAATTATGCAAGATGACAGATTTCAACCCATGAATGTTCAAAGACACAAAGTAACAATGAGACTACCTTAAAGGTTAAAAAACATAGGTTGCAATATTACAAGTATCAAATGAATGAGAAAGATGTGTTTTTACCACTAATAGATTCATGCACGACTGAATAAATTGTGTATTTTCTGCTGATTTTTGTTCAGAACTCTCCAAAAGTATTTCTTTTACATACTCCTTGTTGAAGAGTAGATAAGAGCATTTCATTGAGAGTGTCCTCAAAAAATCATAAAGTCGGTGTTTTTCACCAAGTATCCTAAGCAATTCATCCTGCAAATATGAAGGAAAACATAAGCCCCTAAATCTTCAAATAGGAAACCATGCCAACAACCATATTATTTTTTGTTTAAGTATCCATACCAGAATAATAGTTTTCATGTTATTATACAAGAAAGAACTTTCAAATGTTATTTCTTGCTTTTATCACAATAATCCATATATAAAGAAAATACCCTAGATGTCCAAGCCTGCTCAAATGTAGTATTGGGATCAAGTAGATTTGACAAAATTTTCCAAATATTAGCATCCTTAAGTTGATCAAGAATCTGGAAACTCTCCTCTGCCTTCGAAGGATCAGGAAAGCAGTGGGACATGATACGACAGCAAACAAAAATCTTCTTTAGCAGCTCAGGGGCATTATTATCCTGCATTTAAAAAGATTGAATTTAATAGAACCTTACAGAATACAGAAATATTAGCAGTTCAATTTTAAAGATTTGGAAACCTGATGCATCTGCCGGAAAGAAATATATTTCAACATTTCTTGCTGTAACCTGCAATGAAAGGAGAAAATCCCTGAATTTCTGTGCAAATCCTATAAGCAGAAGGAAGTTAACAGAAAAAGGGTTCCATGAAATCAGAGCAAAATGCATGATACCAAAAGAAACATTGTAAACAAACCTCTGCCTCTGCTCCAGTATCTTCTCAAGTGCCTTTACCTCTACTTTGTCAAACCCTGGGAAGATTTTAACCCAATGTTTCACCTTGTCCTTAATTGAGAATTCAGTGGGGAACAAGGATTCACATAGAACAACCTCAATTGTCTCTGATCTGTAGAGAATTTACAGCACATGTTTTATAGTTAACAACAGAAAAATAGTTTGGAAACTTCAAAAAAAACTACTTTGCAACAAGAAGAAGAAAAAGACCCTATAAAGGAAGAAAAAGGCCAGTTGGCAATGGACAAGACCCAACAAACAAGTGCCACCTCACCAAAACATAAAATACAAGCCAGCCCTCGTAATTGGAAATATTTTAATGTTTCTTCAATCTTGGTTTCCCTCTCCTCAAGGATCCATCAAGCTGAACTTTGGTTGCTGCTCAATGGGAATCCCAGGACCACCGGGCATTAGATGTAAGTTCAGGAGATGCAAGGGAGAGGTCCTTCAGGTTCAATTGGGACCAGTAGGGAGAGTTGATTATATTTGAGAAGAAATATTCTCTGCTGAGAGGTTCAAGGTTGACATATGCCCTTAGTTACTCTAACAGTGGAAATTGCAGGAGATTCCCAGCTGGTGATGGTGGAATGTTGAAGGATGGTGAGCCCTTTAGCAGCCAGGGGGAACATCTCATTCGATTGGATCAGACAACCAATGATTTAACTGACTTGCATTGTATCGGGGCTCATCCCTTCCGAACTGGTTTGTTTTCAGCTTTATATGGGGTGTAAGGGAGACCATTTCAAGTCAGCCGTGGGGGGGGGGGGGTTGCACTTGATTTGTTCTTACCCGTTGTACCTTTTTTCATTAATTAATTAATAACTTCTCGTTGATCATGTGAGATCGAAAAACAGCATAAAAAGAGTCAACTTCAACCTCAACGTGTCTGCCAGAGACAGTGAGTGGACTCCTCCAAGAAAGTCAATGGTCTATCTATTCCCACCACTTTCGTACACATTGCCCAATATGAACTCCCGAAGTCCCAAGTACATCCACCTTTACAATAGTTAAGGTTACAAGAGCTACCATATCAATTAAATGAGTTTAAAAATCTCGTTATAGGCTTTCTTTGAAATTCTCAACGGATTTTACTCTATATCAAGAATGTATTTTCTTTGTCATTTGGAACCACTTAAGAATTCTCTGGATTGAAAGAAACAGGAGGCCTTTTGAAAATCAATATAGTACAGAAGAAAAATTGTTGAAAGGTTTATGGGGTAGATTGTATTCTTGGGTAGGAACGCACAAAAGTTTCAGGGGCAGGCCGTATAATTCTTTTTTTGATTTTAGCTCTTTTTGTACCCCATGAACACAAGATAGGAAATGTACAGAAAGGTTATAGGCCCTGCACAGTGCCTTGTTGTGCAGGGGGTTGCAATCTTTTTTTATTAATATAATAATTTACCTTTTTCTCTCAAAAAAAAATAATTCCCTGATAATTAGTTTGACACATTGGTTAGATGACCATATTTTTTAAGTTTAACTGATGTTTATTTGCATAATACATATAATTCAATCAACATATCCATGAATACAAAGTACAGAAACAGATTATATATTTTGTTTGCACATAATTCAACAGATGCATCCAAACAGCTTCTAAAAGATGCAGAAATCCATTCAATACATTGCATTTCAGATCATGAGTCATTAGGGCCAATTCCACTTCCATAATTGATCCAAAGATATTTCTACAGAAACATTGATAATTAAAATGACCTTTCCCAATTCCCATATCTTCTTATGCTATTTCAAGTTAGTGAAATTTCAAATTTCTAGTTTTTGAAGTCCAGTTACTCAGATTTGTAAGGTTACACCTCAAATCCTCTAGATTCTTGGAGAAAAAATTCTTTTTTTATTCTGGAGAAAAACTCTTTGTATAATCCCTGATAGTGTGGGGAATATGGTTTGTCTTTGGATTTTCTTGCATGAAGAATGTTAGAGGATGTTTTGATATATTTGCAACTTTGGGTTTATATCCAGGATGTTATTGTAACCTCTGGTTATATTGGGGGCTTTTCTGTAATTCCAATTATTTGTATGTGGCTTGTCCAGTAAGCCAGTGCGGTATAGTCTTATTCAGGCCGCTGTCTTCCTCTGGTTATATAATCTATATTTTCAAACATAATGGCTTGATCATCCTCTCCTGTGGACATGGGCCTTCTAGCTGAATCACATAAATCTTAGGTGCCCTTGATTTGCCATTTCTGTTTTCTGTCATAGTTTTATGTGATTATCAGTTTTGGCTTCTACTTGCATATACATTAGCTAACACAACTTTACTGTCCAGCCCAGATAAACAAAAATCACTGAATCAGCTCAATTAAAAACTGCCTTTGAAAAGAACAGTAGAATATACAGTTTCCCCAGATTAATGCCCAAATAGATGTTCTCACCTGAAATCTTTGTCAAAGAAGCATCTAAGTATCTTCCCAGGGATCCAGTCAAAATCATCTGAGCTAACTGAACCAGAAGATTTCAAGCAACAAATTCTGTATATTTCAGCTAGCCTCTCCATGGTATATCTTTTAACAAGTAGCTGAAATTTTTGAAACAGAGACTGTCAGAAATAGAAATTCATTGAGAAGTTGGATAGCCAAATGAAGTGAAGAGAGATAGAGAGATCAGTACAGATTTATCTCGAAGACGCTCTGCAACAAGTTTTATGGTTTCAATAGGAATGGATTTCAAGGTATGACAAGCCACGTCACAGAGTGCAGCAACAACTTCTTTCCGAACATTTTCATCATAGTCTAACAGACGATCACAGAGGGCATCTGGAAAATCGCACATCAAGCTCAAACTCAATGACATAAACAGTTTACTATACTGAAATGCTTAACAAAAATATATGTAATAACATAACTAGCCATCATCCATACCAATAATTTGAGGAGCTTCATCTCTGAAGGGATTTGAAAGCAAACAGCTCCTTACATGCCCAATGACAGACATTCGAACCTCCACTACTCTATCAGTCAACCTCTTCAAGAATTCAGAGAATATTGGGTGAAATGCTTCACAGATGGCATAATCTGGTAGAGCAAACAGGTCTCCAAGTAACCTCACTGCTTTCAGACGAGTATTTGATTGATCTGTCTGTATAAGGCGGAGCTTCAGAAGTTAAAATCTATTCATTTAACCTTTAAAACCATGAATAGGACATCTAAGATTGTATTTTCCTAATTTTGAAGAAATATAGCACATTATAAATTAGCATGATTTCAACCTACAGAAAAAAGGAAATGAGACAAAGAAGAAGACTGAAATTCTAAGTAAAAAAAAAAGAAGTGCTTTAAGTAAATATATTAGGCTACATTTTAACTAAAACACAATTTAGGGGCAGAAGTGCTATCAAAATGCATTCTGTCACGAAACCCAAGGATTTTACACTTCCCCCCACCCCCACCCCCCACCAAAAAAAAAGGATGTTCATAATCATTCAAATTGTGGAAAAGACACCTAAGATCCACAAGCTTCTGGATTTTGCACAACACAAATTTTGGAACCAAGGCTCCATTTGAGAAGAGTACAAAGACAAAAATGGTCAGTACAAGGCAAATCTGCCTGGTTCATAAAACTGCAAAGTTGGCTTGTTTTGGATTGATAATTTTGTACTTCTGCCAAATGATTTTTAGTTGTGATAGGTACAAACATGAAACGTGAGACTGGAACCCACCTTTTTATATTGACCAACTTTGAGTGCAAAAGTTTGCATCCATACACTTTTTTTATGTAAACTTTGCTTTCATTTTGAATGCAAACATGTCTTGGAATCTGTGTTTGCTGTCAATCTCAAGACAAATGTATTCTTACCAAACACCAGCAAATCTGAACCTGCATATGATATATGCACTGAACCAGCATTTGCACTCTCCCCAAATGGAGCCCAAAGAGCAGAATTTGAAAGCTGAATTGCCCCCTTGAATACTGCTCCTAATTCCTCTTCCCCCCGGCCCAAAGGCAGCCTTATAAAACAAGGATGCAACCTCCAATAAATGAGATAAACCACTCAGAAACAACTATGTATGGCATAATCTTCTAAAAACATAGTCAGAGATATAATAGTTAATAGAAAACATTCAAATTTGAAGTAGAAACTATGCATAAAAGGCCCAGGGGTGATTGCTAGGGGTGCTAAGCACATTTTTATAACATTCTTTTTATTTATTTAAACATTAATAAATTTTAATTTTTACCAATAAAAAAACTACACATGGAAGGTATAGCTAATTAGTAAATGAGTGGCTACCAATAGTTCTCCCGTAATGTATGGGATGATTCCAGAGAGGATCTGAGGAGCACATCGATAAAGATCATAGATAACTTCATGATAATCAAGTTGACTGTTCAGAGAACTCTTATCCCCTGACATTGATGATATAAGGAACTGCTTTATGCCAGGTTCAAGTTTTCCTGCACAATGTTCTATAACATTCATAGCGAGCCTCCGTGCAGCCATAGAAACATCCTAGTGGCACAAATTTCAAAAAATCAACTCTGTAAAAACAGAAGTTGCAGGAAAGTAGAGTCTTAAACATGACAATAATAGAACATTAATGACTAAACACATGGGCATTTTCAGCAGAGAGAGAGCAGGGACTTACACTTCTTCCTCGGCCTAAAACAGATAATACAATAAGTAACACGTTCTCCTGAACATCCTCACTCTCTTCTATGAGAAGTACCATAATTGTCTGCATTGATGTAAGGACATTTTCTGGGTGATCATCACTGCACATATGGAAAAAAAATCAATAAAAACATTGAAGATATCCCCTGATGATCATTGCATTCACTAAAAAGTAAGAACCACCAGAAATAACTTCCCCAATATCCAAAACACAAAAACACAAAATAGTTTTACATCCAACAAGTGGCAGTCTAGTCTCTAGGGACTTCCCACTCTAAGAATCCATCTGACTTTTTTTTTTTTGAAATAAATTAACTGATTTCATTAAAAGAAAAAGGGGTACACAAGAAGGTGTACAATTACAAAACAGGGGCCAGACCCCTGAGAATTACACAGGTGGAATTTTATCACAATACAAGGTCTCCAGAATGACACCTAATTTTGCCAATCCACCTGCAATGGCATTTAACCCCCTTGGAATCCAGTACAGAGAAACATTCATAGGAGCCAATAGGTCCCTTGCCTCTGTTAAGAAGTCACTAAGTCTCCATGGTCCAGCCTCCTGTTGTCCTAACCATTTTATGGTATTTGCTGAGAATCCATCTGATTGCATTGACAGAACCACTCTCATGGTTAAAGAAGATAACTTAAGTTGCTTTGCAATGTGAGTTCCTGTGAGGTCTCTCACCTAAGCTCCCATAGAGCTAGCATCACCAATGGGTCCAATACAAGACCCAAAAATTTGCTTCCAACTGGCCTCAAAAAGACTCTCTATTCCAGTTGGCTCAAGGTTCCTGATCAAGCTACTATCGAATTGGAGTTTAGTGCGTCTTTCAACAGGAGGTGGGCAAACAGCTCTAGGAGTGGATTCACTAGGAGAGGACTAGAATATCAGGAAGACTTCAAACAACATCCTGCCATTGGCCTTGGGATATTTTTTTTCTTTTTCACTAGAATTTTACCGTGCCAGCATGCCAACCCATTACTTGTAGATAGAGAACTTAGTCCAAACCTAGGATAACTAACCTTCATCGGCAATTGAACACTGTTATGCCCATCCAAAAAAAACAACTATTGCTTAATATTGTCTATCTCTTTTTCATTCATAAAAAATGAGAAAATAAAACAAATATCCATTTGTTCCTTGTGTCTAATAACAGAGATTTACATTAACTTGTATGCCAAGAAAAACAGGACACTTAGAAAATTAAGGTGGATTAAGTGACTGTCAGCATTTAGCTTTGAAAAAAGGGCAAGAGAATTGATGAAAGTTAAAAATATGATATCAATAGAAACAATTTTTTTCTACATTCATGAAAATTGCAAACCATTATAGAAAAAATCAAAAAGACAAGATACTTGATGCAAACTTAAGGTGCCTTACATCATCATCCAAGACTTGTCCCAACAATATGGGATTAAATACAAGAATCCTGTTTCGCCATTCCAGTTCAAAGCCATATCCATCATTAAATCATGAGCGTTTAAATCAATTCTTACTACTTCCACCCAAGTCCTTTTCGGTCTGCCCCTAGCTCTTCTATCCCCTTCAACTTGTAACAGAACACTTCTTTTAACAGGTACTTTAGACGGTCTTCTACACACATGACCAAACCTTCTCAGTCTACTTCCTTTTTTCATTTTATCACCTATTGGAGCTTCTCCCAGGTTCCTGCATATGACTTCATTTCTGATCCTGCCCTTTTCTAGTTTTACCACTCTTCTATCTGCTCACCTTACAACTGTTTTATAGAATTTTTCCTCTTGACTGAAGTGGTATTCGCCTATCACATAAGACTCCAGATGCACCCCTCCATTCTGCCCATCTTTCTCTACTTCTATGAGTGGCAACCTCCTCAATCGCACCTTTGTTATAAATTATTGAACTAAGCTAATGGAAGAGGTCACATTGAGTTATCTTTTAGCCTTCAATCCTAAGGTCACATTGAGTTTTCATTAAGAAAACTCCAAACTACCCCAAAAATGAAACAATTGGATCACAATATAATTCCCAGCACTGGTCATTCCATTACAACCTTTCTCTGACAGCACCCAACATGGCTAAGCATCAGCCAAACTATTGGCACACCTAGGCACCCAATTCAATGAGCTGTACAAATTGCTACCTACCTTAAGTTACTATCTCACTAAAGGGCTAACACCCCAAGGGAATTCACCACCAGCCTTCCTCCAAGAGATAAGTTTGACAGTCTCCCTCTACCTCCGGTTCAGTCCAACCTATCAAAAGCAACCAATTTCAAACCTTGAATCAAACCCAACAGTTCTGCTTGTAAGGAGTTGCTATAACTAATAGGGCCTTAGGAACTGAGAAGAATAGTACTATTATTATTAAATTAGCATTTCATATATTATGTTTCAATCCTACTTATTTTAAAACCCCTTTTTTCTAATGTAATTGTCAATAAATCTAATTTTGCATTTAGTCCTTTGTTATGTCATCAGTTAATAGTTAATACTATCTCATCAGCAAACATCAACCAATGTGAGACCTCCTCTTGAAAATGTTTGGTCAATTCATCTATGACTAGTGCAAAGAAAAATAAAAAAGACAAAGACACTTGATGAAATCATCTATGAAATCAATAGAAACAAATCTTTTCTATATTCATAAAAATTGCAAACCATTATAGAAAAACCAAAATAACAAAAGAGACAGAATGCAAAATTAAGATGCCCCAAATACATTTGTAAAATAACCAGCATCAGAAATGATGAGGGTCAGATTGTAGCTCTATTTTCTGGTCCTATAGGGTGGGGAGATTCAGTAAATGCAGAACTCCAAGCTGTGTTACAAGGAGCAGAAATTGCAAAAGAGTTGGCAGTGGAGCATTTAATGATTGAAGCTGACTCCAAATTGGTTATTGGATGGCTAAAAGAACCAGAGATGGCAGCCTGGCCGTACAGGGGGGCTTTGAGAAGACTTAAGTGGCTAACATCAAATATTTCAGTTCAATGGGAAAGAAGATCGACAAATGGGCTAGCAGACTTCCTAGCTAAACAAGGAGTACATAGGAATCAGCTCTTTTGGACTCAATTGTAAGCTTTATGATGTAGTTTGGAGGCTGCACCTTGCGCCTCTTTGTGGGGAATTGTATGATGTACACTTAGTTCTTTAGTTGATAAAATTATCATTATCTATCAAAAAAAAAGAGCACCAGCATCATGCGATGTAAGCATACTGGCTCTCAAATGAAAAGGACAAAGTTGAGAACAGGGATACTTTTTGCTAATACATTATACATGGAGCTAGGGGTATTTGACTTTTGCCTTTTTATCAAAAACTTATTTACCAGTAATGAGTTCTGGTGCAAGCAGTTCTCATTCATAAAATTGCCATTTAAAGAATTGAACATACCTGGCTACAGCAAAAAATGTACTGAACATTTCATTCACTAGATCGTCACATTCGAGATCCAACATCACAACACAAGACCTATACCTTGCAAGAGTCTCCAATATAACAACTCTCCTTCCAAATGATGGACCATTGATATCACCTAATCCACTAAAAGTACCTACAATCAAGTGGAAAATGTCCTGCAAAAGACAATCTAGCCCAATTAGGTGAAAGTGAATTAACAAAACCAAAGAATGGTTCAAAACATGGCAGTAAGCCCATAGAACAACAACATAATCCCAGTTACAAGAATCAAACTTTTACCCTTAGAACATCATCACTATAAGGAGCTTCAGGTGCAGAAATTCGGATTATCTCACAAATGCAGGTTGCCACAAGAAGTTTGACATCCCTGTCTTGATGCTTCAGCAGTTCTGGCTTGACTAGTGTATTAAGACATGGTTGCATTGACTCCAACATTGATGATGATGGAGACTGATCCAACTCAGATAGAAAACTTGCAGCTTGCTGCACATTCAAATCAAGATTAAGTCACCTCAAAACGGATAACTGAGAAAACAGACTCTCCAAAAAGAAAGGCATCATTTAACTTCTAAACAAGGAGATAGTAAATATCAAATTGCGGATGCTTGCCAAAATACCAAAAAAAAAAAAGGCTTACGGTGGCATAGCAAGGAATTTTTTCCAGCAGAGGTCATGCAATAATTTATCAATGTATCAAAAATAATTTCATGCATTAAATGATTTAACTTAAAGTAAAAAAAAAATAATTTAAAATCTTCAAAATGCCAAATATAAGGAAAAAAATTCAATACATCAATCACACTACTTCAACAAAAAATGATAAATGTCATTTTACAATTTCCTCCAATGAATGTATATCTTAAATAAGACCTATATAGAAGTATAAAAGAAACCCATAAGGTATAATTCCAAAAGGGAAAATTGAAAGCATACAGAATTAATAAGTGAGCAACACAATTATGAGTAAGAAAATTAGAGAACCTGTATCTTTTTTTTTTTTTGATCAGTAACAGCAAAATTTATTAATGATATGAAACTATGTGAAACTTTAGGCTCCGTTTGTTTGCGATACAAACACCAAACCGGGGTATTTATGTACTCCGGTTCGTGTTTGCGAGCGTTTGTTTGATGCGTAAAAAAGTAATGATTATCAGAGCAAAAACGCATTTTCTGGCACTTTTGTACTCTGAAAAGAGAGCAATACTGTACCTATTTTTGGATACAATTTTGTGCTCTCTTAATAATTAACTATTTTACCAAAGTTAAGGCATTAAAGCATATGATATTTGGAGCATTTAATGATGGGCCCACACTTTTGCACCGATTTCAAACAAACAAGATGAATGCAAAAGCGGTTTAAAATGTGAACCGTGTTTGCATTCATGAACCGAAAAATGGGTAAATATGTAGTGTACATATTTGCGTTTGCATTGCAACCAAACGCAGCCTTAGGTACAAAAGGGGGAGGTAAAATGTCTTAACTCCCCACCAACAGAATACAATGGAAAAAAGTCAAAAGTTAGCCCAAAAGAAAAATTCCTTATTCACCCCTTGCTTGGCTAACCCATCAGCAAATGAATTAGCAATCCTCTTCACCCGGCTGTAATGCAACACAATATCCCTACTCAGCCATTTGAATTTTTTCTTCTCATTGTTATAACTCCACAAGCCATTGTCTTCTTCCTTTAGCCACCTAATCGCTACCTCCGAGTCACCTTCAAGGACCAAACATCTAATATTCAACTCCCTTACTCTTTGGATACCTTCTAAGGCTGCAAGAACCTCAGCCCTAAGAGAGTCTCCTTCTCCAATTGGGCCTGAAAACCTGGCAATGTTAACCCCATCCTCATTCCTAAACACTCCCCCAATCCCAGAAGGCCCTGGGTTCCTTAAGCAGCTACCATCAAAATTCAGTTTTATGAACCCAGAGGGAGGAGGGGACCAAGAAGGACTATGAGTCCTCTTACATAGGGCAGAGGAAGCTATCTCTTTCCAATTTCTTACCAAATCAGCCACAGAATACACTGAGAACAGCTCCATAGTTTTCAGTCAATGGACTACCCTTAACAGAATTAGATCTAATAAGTTTTTCAGGGTTCTTTCCTTGTTTGAAAATATTCGTAAATTTTTTCTTCCCATAGTGACCAACACACTGCTGCCCTGATGCTTCTCCACATAATCTTCCCTCTCTTCTTCGGCCATCTGAAAAAAGAAGAAGAGAACAAGCTTTGGGCGCTCCCAGGGGGAATCCAAATACACCCAAAGAGGGAAAAAACCCACTCCCATACTGTTTTAGCAACCGAACAAGTAACCATAAGGTGGTAACCAGTTTCCCCATCAGCTTTACAWAGAGTACACCTATTAGGAAGTAAACAAGAATTGGGTCTCTTTTTCTGAAGTAGGTCATTTGTGTTAATTTTTTCCAGGAAAGTTTCCCAACAAAAGCTACCAACCCACGGGGGAATGGGCCTACTCCAAATTAGTGTGGTAACTAAGTTCTTGATTTTAACTTCATAACAAGTCTTGCATCAAAAAGTAAGAAACTTACATTGGAAACTCATGTGCATAAGATATATAATTGAATTAAAAAGAGAGAGGGGGAAATTTTGATGTTAAGTGGATTTTCAAGTATCTCAAGGGCACTTCTAAACTATAATAATATTTTGGTGTTAGTAAACTTGTGTTAAAAGGATCCATAGATGCAGATTGGAAATTTTGACTCTAGGAAGTCCACATTGAGATACTTGGTTACTTTTGCAGGTGGTGCAGTGTTATGACAGTTCAAATTACAAAAATGTGTGGCCCTATCTACTACTAAGGCTGAGTATTGATATTGCTACCAATGAGTTGCGGATGAAGAAGTTTTTTGAAGAACTAGACTTGAAGCAAGACAGGTAGTTCACTGTGACAATCAAAGCACCATCCACTCAAGCAAAAATCCCAGTTTCCACTCCAACTCCCAGCATATAAATGTGAGATATCATCAGATCAGGGATATTCTTGAAGAAAAGGTGTTGCTCTTGAGAACATTTGTACCGACAAGAATGGATCCAACAAGAAGACAAAATGTCTACCCCTTATTGAGCTGTACATAAGTGTGGCTGGTTTAGGCTTAATAGAGCCTTCCTCATGAATTGGGAGGAAATTTGTTGGGTTTTCCCTCCTCAATCCTCATAAAGAGGTGGGACCCACTCATGTGATGGTTCTTTCCTTGCCCATCATGTGAAGGACTAGACAAAGTAAAAAAGTGTGGTCACTTATGGTAAAGAAAGAGACAAAAAGAAAGATAAGGTCTTTTGTCTATACAAGAAGACATCATTATGTTGGGTTTGTGAGCATCCATGAACAACTTATATTGTTTTTTGATAATAAAAAACAATTTATATTGTTTCTTTTCCATCATTTCTTGGTGTGATTTCTCCATTTTCTCTTGTAACCCACTTGTTAGTGAGGTTATTGATGCTATCCAAGAGAGCTCATCACTCTTGATGTGTATGCTTCTAATTGTTACTAAAAAGATTATTATACCCCATTATTCTTGTTGATAGTGGAAGATAGTTGGGCATCAGTCTTTATAGCTTTCACCCTAACATTGAGGGGTTTTCCATATAAACCTTGGTGTTCCTATGATTGCTTTCTTTGTGTTTTTTATTTGTCTCTACTACTTTGTGATTGTTATTTCCTTGGTGTTGAATCTCTTTTATTTGCACAAGGAAGACAAGGAGGTTTATTTCCCCAACACCCGCTCTACATTCATGCTCCCCAAGACCCCAACACTCTTGTTACTATAATACCTTAAAAATATAAAAAAGGTTGCAACCTATCTGTCAAAACTCAAAACCCCTCAAGCATAGTGAAGATTGTTGCTGTTCCATTCATTCCTTGACCTCAACTTCAACTGACTTTAACCACCATTGTCTCTTTCCAGCGAGGAAAAACACCGTGGAACTGCCAACCTAGAACTAGATTGGCCAGAAAAGACAAAGGTATGCTAAACGAAGGACATCTTCCGTCCAAGGCTTAACTTTCTCAGTACAGCTCCATCAGTTAATGCCACTAGGAGTTGAACAGAAAGAGTAAAATGTCCAAAACGCTACCTTTTTATAGTTAAGACTGTGTATTTCGACTATGCCCTAGTCCAATCTAAATTTCCCGAAATTACATCAAAACCTCGAATTTTTGCACTTGAGTGAACAAAATTAAAAACAAAGATAGAAGAATAACCTGGAACAAAGAACTGGTCGAAGCAACACGACACTAAAAAGCCATGAATATGCAAGAAGGAAAAAGAAAACAGAGGAATACACGGGCACATAACCACAAATGCGAAGGTTTGGGAAGAATTTAACAAGGAACACAAAGAATCAAGCGACTGAAAATTACAACAAAGGCTTGCCTTTAAAAGCTTGACAAGAGCATCTTTCGAAGCCGAAGGGTTTTCGAGCTTCGATCCAACCTCTCTCAGCTGCTGTTGAAGCTTTTGCGCCATTTCCGTCAGCGAGAAAGGAGCTCGAAACCAATTCGAGATCTCACACTAGGAGACCATCTAATCGGTACAGAGACGAGCCGAACCGGAGGGTTTTTTTCGAGGTTTTGAAAAGAAGCGAAAAATGAAGTGGAGAACGGGAGATGAGATGAGGTGAAAATGAAATTAAAAGAAACGTCTTCTACTTCCACGACTTTTATCTGAAATCCTGATTTCTATGACGAAACCATTACACGGATTTTAGAAAGAGAACATACATACATAATTTTACAGGGGTTTAGTTCGTCTTGTTGTCCGTACTCGGACAGCTCGACACTTAACAAGTTTCAAACCTTCCAATTTACCCTCATTGGTTGCTCCAAATTACAAGGGGCACCGCACGTGACAGGTTGATCGGCGTTTGAAGTTTGAAGTTTGAACCCACTTGACTTGACCATTCGTATGCAGTCAGCTCAGCTCTTATAATCAATTCCAATCATGTGGCTAACATACGAGGTCAGACGTGGGGTGGGGAGGACTACATCCGAAACCGAACTCCAACTACACCAACACCGCCCGCTCGACGCTCGTTTGTGATTTGTCTCACGTTAACAGACAGATTAGTATTACGGCCACCACTCACGTCGGATTGTGCATGTTATCGAGATCTCACGAGATGGACGACAAATTTTTGAACTCGCCGTTATTATTTTTCCAATTAGGGATCTAAGGATCACGACATGTGGCCGTGTTCCACGTTGTCAGTCTGAAGCTTACCAACGTTAGCTAAGCTAGGGGATACGGTTATGAGACAAATGTCAGACCGATTAATCTGGAAGTTGCATGCCGAACTCAGCTAATTCACCGAGTACCTGCTCTTATTAGTCGTGGAATTCTGTACTCTAGCCTCTAGTGCCCGCACTACAAATTATAAATAAAAAAATTAAAAATTGTATTAAAAAATATAAATCTATAATATAAATAAAAATGAGAATGAAATGTAAAATTTTTTTTGGACTAAAATTATCTTTTTCTTATTTGTTTGAGAAAGGATATAAAAATCATTTTATTATAATTTTTATGGTTACTAAAATACCCATAATTGTGCATTTAGTCAATATCTAATGATAAAGGTTGAAAATGCAACTTTAATTATTATTTCCCACATCATTTAATCCCCTCTCATTAAGTCATAATTAAATTATTAACTCCCATTTTCTCTTATTAAATCTTAAATTTAAGTTATTTTTTACTAATAAATGCTACTAATTAGATCTATGCCAACATTTTTAACAACATAAACCCATATATTTTAAAATTGACTTAAAAACAAAACCATTCTTTGTCAACTAGTGTTTAATATATTCAACCATCCAAATCAACCTATGAAGTCATAGGTTGATATTTTTATTAATCAAGTTAAAACTTACAAAAATATAGAAAATTATAAAAATGTAATTACACATGTTTAAGATATTTTTATTAACCAAGTTAAAACAATAAGTGTAATAAACAAAAATTATTTTTAATAAAAATGAAATACATAATTTAGAACTGACCAAAAATGAAATTATTTTGTTGTTTGAAAAGCATCAATAATTCAACTTTTTGGGTCAAGTGTATTAACATTCAATGTCATAAATAAATAATAAAAATTAACAAAATATAAAAATACATAAAATTTGCAAAAAAAAACATCCAACCACATGTATAAATATCATATAGTTATCATATTAAACAAAAAGTATGATATATCAAAATTATTTTTACACACAGAAATAGAAAAAAAATATGAACACATCTATAATTATATATTTACACTACTATTAAAAATATGAATAAGATTACGAAACTTTTTTTGACTAAAATACTCATTTTTTAATTTAATCCCTATTTAATTGTGACGTTTAAATTGTAAATTGAACTACTACTATTCACATCATTCCCCTCTCTTTAAATCTTACATTTATTTTATAAATAAACAAAAAAAAATACACCAAAAAGAAGAATCTAGCAAAAAGCAGGTAGGCCTATCAATGATACTTGAAACTTCAAAACTCAATCCAGTTATCACATATTTAGATAAGGTGTTTATGTAATCATATATGGATTTTGCAATCTACATCCAATTAATAATAAAAAACAAAATAAAAAATGCATATTTATAAAAAAATATAGATACATTATTACTATCATCATCATCTAGAATTGCCATGTGCAAACTACATGTACGCTTAGTAGTTAAATATAAAAATGCATATAACATACCTAAAACATAATTATACATTATCTATTGATAAAATATATATTTACACACATTGTATATATGTATAACCTTAAATACATGTGAGACAGTTTAACTCATTGGACAATTGGATCTCTGAGTCAGTTTTTTAAAACATTGGGTTAAACAAATGATTACAAGAAAGCAACTGTAAATGGGTCCAATTCAGATCCGATATACCTGCATCCAAATCTCATCTTATTAAAATTTAGTCCAATTCAGCAATTATTCACCAGAGTAAAATGGTTCTTACCTTTCCCTACTTTTTCCTTCAAACCAAACACAGCTTAAGTGATTACGTGAACAATCCACATTCGAAATCAACTATTCAAATTGGAGCTTTGACCTTTTATACCAACCCATAATGATAGAGTTTACAGAGAGATGAAAGCAAGATTTCTTTATACACATACTACAAAACAGGTCATGTCATACTCCCGAAATATTGGGCCCTGGCTCAACCGGGAAATTTACAGAGAGGACCTGGCAAGGCCAGAAATGATCAACCCTTGATAACTAGACGCATTCGCCTGTGACACCAGAAAGAAATGGTATAAAAAAAGTTTGTGAATAATCATCATAAACGTGGTAGTTAATCAGGTGGTATTTATCATAATTCACATGTGGGTTTTGACTGGTTAAAACATTTCTAGTACCATTTCTAGTACCATGTCTTCCGGCATTATAGATTTCCCTGACTAGAGATATTAGCTGATTTTGAAGTTGACAATTAATTTTGCTTTGCTACATGTAATTTTAGTATTGAAGCAGTGTAACAAAGAACAATAAAAAAAAAAACAAGTGAAAAAACTCGGCCACATTCTGAATAATAAAAAAAAACAAGTGAAACATCCAAATGCATATAATCAGTCAGAGGGCAGAAATTAGATATTCCATGCATCAGAACTGAGAATGTCAGCTGTAATAATTTATAAAACGCAACTTCACGGCGAGGAGCTACAGAAGACAGCAGAGATAAAACAAGATCCAGATCCATTTTGGGAAACTAGTCTAGCTCGTGTCATGAAAACGGCAGACGAAATTCTAGATACGATACAGCATTGCAGCCGAGAGCCGATCACCTTAAGTGAGACTGAGGATTTTATGTAACTGTAGCTTGATCAAGCCCATGTTGAATTCGTAAATAGTACACTGGACTGTAAGAATGAGAGAAAGCAAAATTGAAAGAGATGTATGTATTTTAATGGAAAGTGTAATCAACTACAAAATGCGTGCCAAATGAAATCATTATCATCGAACAGGCCAACACGTTTTAGCCATGCTCATGGCCTCCTCCCTGTTTGTCATTGAGAGGTCTGTCGACAGAGGATATGAAAGAAACCCATTAGTTTCACTTTCACATATAAAACCAATTTGACAATAATATTCTAATGTAGACAATATAATGTTTGCCATCACAATTAAAACTCCAATATAAGCTTAAGTAATAAAGATCTTTAGGTAGATCAGAAGGATTTTCTAGAATGGGATTGCAACATGGTCAAACACGGACAGATCTTTTTAAGCCAAAGAATGTCCTGCAACTCGGGAAGAATGATATCCAATTTGCAAACTTTTTTGAGGTATTCCATTACATGTATATGCCATTGCATCTATAAAAACCTGTGACAGCTCAGAGTTCCAATTTCAACTGCATGGGAAGATCTAATCGACAGAAAGAGTTCAGACAAGATATTCCCCATATAAAAATGTCAATCTCTACAGAAATTCAACCTTTTCAGGTACCGACTTACCCTCAAACAACATAAACACAACCAAAATTTATCAGTACATATATTAAGATACAACATTCACTTGTCTACACCTGTTATGCATATGATATACACGTCATGTAATGCAATTTTTAAAAAGCTTGAGAAGTGGATGCCCGGAGGCAGGCCTCCTGGTGAGGGGCCCCCTCAGGATGCCCCAAGGCACATGTTAGAGGCATTGAAGCCTCTGAGGCTTATGCTTCATGCATGATGCCTCATACATAAAGAATGGAAAAAAAAAAAAAAGAAAGGAAACAAGAAAAAGGGACCCCCTCTTTCAGCTAGCATTGTGCATCCTCATGCTTCTTTATACAAGATATCTTTTATCAAAAAGAAACAAGAAAAGCAAAAACACCTCCTTCCTCTTCTGCTTCTTCCTCTTGAGGAGGCTTACACCTCACGCCTCTAGGTAGTGGAACACCTTGCATCACACCTCCACATTTTAAAACATTATTGTAATGTAAGCTTACCTTGGTACATTCATTTTGTATTTTAAGTAGGCGGGTTACAGCAGCAGAAAATAGGATTTAATCAAAGAAAAATAGAAGAGACAGTGGTCAGCAGCAAGAGACCATTAAAGAGTGGCCAGCAGCAATGTAAGCGTACCTTAGTAGGGCAGCAGTAATAAAAAACAATAAAAGAGTTCTTTTATTTTGCATTAAACATTAAGATACAACAAAAGCCCAACAAATAAGAAGCCGGCCTGTCAACATTTTACACTTGATCTAGCAAGAACATTAATTACCCAATTTAGTTAACGTCTACATAAATGGTTCGTTTATTTTGTCCACCAAACCTCACAATTATGGGAAAGAAAGTGTCATATAGAAAAGGGAAATGAGATTGCCATTCATGATGCAAGAGATAAATGAACCCCTTATCATTCTCTCTTCAGAATACATGGGGTTGTGGTTGCTTCTGAGCGGGAAGAGGAAGGACTATGATCTAGTTTCTCTTGGGATTGGACCCAATTTTCACTGGGGGATCTTGCTCTTCCATGATTGCTAATGATGTTAGTGGTGGTCAGACACTAGAGTCATCCTCCTTAGAAACTTTTATAAATTCAAGAGATATATGGCAATAATCTATTTCTTCAATACAGTTTTGCTCGATCTATTTCACCATTTTGTAAGAGTTCTTGATACATTTGGGGTTCAAATTTGCTTTCCTGAATCTCTGAGGCAGTTTTTGCAATCATGGCAGCTGAATGGTTTGAGCAGTGCTACGAGAGCATTGTGGGAGGTGTGCCCAGCAGCTGTTTGTTGGGCAATCAGGGGTGAGGAACAGTAAAGTTTTTGAAAATAAAGCAACTGAAGAATCAGTGGTGGCTGGAAAAGTTGAGGTAATGTTTGATCTTGGTTGGCTTCTGATTCCTTATTTAGAGGAATGTCATATTTTTAGCCTTCCAATAAAGTTTTTCTATTTTGTAATTAAGATGTAATTATTTAATGAGTTTTGTATATTCCCCAATGTACAGTCTTCATGGGTGTCGGGTTTTTGGATGATTAATACAATATACTTTATCTTTTGGCTATGTTTGGTTTGAAGGAAAAGGTAGGGAAAGGAAGGGAAAGACAGGGAAACCTAATATAAGGTTTGTAAAGGTTTCCCTACCTTTTCCTTCAGACCAAACATAGCCTTTCTAAAAACATTGTGCACAAAGATGTAGTGTAGGGAGTATGCCATGCATCCTTGGCAATTCCTATGCTCACGTCTACCACTTAAACCTATTACTTAAACCAGATATATGGGCACATATTTCCCCAATACAATTGGTTTCTTTGAATACCTTGTCTAGCCAAAGCATCAGCAACACTTATACTCATATTTGCATGCAAGTAAATATCGCATCCATCATTTCTGCCATATTTCTCAGTTCTTGCTTCTCTAATGGAATGTCAATATCGCCAAGCATTTCTTCCACCCCTATATAGTGGAAACGAAATCACTCTACAAGTTCTTTTATTTTGCATTAAGGTTTATTTATCTCTTGTAGATTTCTTGGTTGATTCTTTAGCTAAGCAAGGGGTAATGAGGGATCAGTTGTTTTGGGCACATTGTAAATTTCATGCTGTTGTTTCTTTAAGAGTGAGACACTGAGGCTGCACCTTGCACCTCCCTTTGGGATGCTTGTAACAGTTGCTTATCCTTTTTGATATCAATGAAATTTTAATGAACTTTTACTTATAAAAAAAAAACTTATTTATCCTTTTTTCTCTGAGAGGAGGCCTAGCTGTGTGTCTAAAGAAGAAACCTCTTGTCTGAGGGCATTGTAATGTGAGTGTATTAAGTTATGCACAAGGAATTAATAGTAATGTTCAAAATATACAAACCAAGATCACAAACCCATGTATAATACAATGGATAAATGCTAAAAAAATCACATTCAATTTTATGCCAACAGCTTAATCATAGAAAAGAATACTGAGTATTGAGAAAATCTGTCACAGATCATAATCACTCTACATCCTAATTGCTAAACACCATGGAAAGAATGCTTAATTGAGAATGTATGTGGGTAACATCTGAATAGCCTGTTCCAAAGCCAAAAGGCCAATAACATCTTACATTCAAAGTGGCTAACTAGTCACTTGATCATGGTTTCAAATGTCGCCAAATGTCGCTAATGTCGCCCGACATATGTCGGTGTCGAGGCTCACCGACACGAAAGTGGATGGTAATATAAAAATTACATTATGTCGGTCGACATTTCCTATATTTCGGAAATGTCGACCAAATCGGTCCAAATAACCAAAAAAAGTACAATTTTTCCTATTATGTCGACTAATGTACATTAAAAATATAATATATTAGTATATTATATTAATATAATACAGTATATTAATATAGATTATTCCATTAATAATTTCTATTTAATATTTCAAATAAAATATTTATAAAAAGAATTAACAAAATATAAAAACAAAAGAATAAATTAATTACTTTATAATATAAAACATAAAATATTTTTCAAGTAATAAAATATTAACTATTTAGTATTTTTAAAATATTTATTAAAATCAGAAAAAGTTTATTAAATTTTATAATAAACCATATTCTACATTTAATATAAAAAAACAGAATAAATTTTATACTAAATCATAACTTATTATAAATTTAGTATTAAATATCATAATAAATTCATTAAGTTTTATAAGAAATCAGAATTTATCATAATCTTAATACTACAAAAAGGAGAATCAGTTTATTAAATTTATAATAAAACATAATGTATTATAACTTTAATATTTAAAAAAATCAGAATAAATGTATTTCTATTTACTAGTGTGAAATAAATATATTAGAATTTATAATAAATCAGAATTAGAAATAAGAAAAGAAAATATCAGATAACCTTGTAAAAACATCAAAATGCATAATAAATCAGTAAATCGTCATTTACTAATTTGTTATTGATCTTAGTTTCTTAGCTTTATATAATGCTTGGGAATAAGATAATAATCTAGAAATATGTATTAATGCTTCTTTTATCATTTTACAAAATATCTTTGCATATTTCCACATATTTCATAATATTTCCACAATGTCTCTAATTGTTACAATATTTCCCCTCAACATTTCCGACATATGTCCTTTATTTTGGTAAGCATCATTTCCATCGACATCGACATTTTAAACCTTGCACTTGATCCCAGGGGAGATATAAGAAGGTTCTTAACTTTTCACTAGCAAATAGAATCGTTTTCCCCTCAATGAAGCAGCACATGGGCTCTATGGTCATCAAGGGAGATAATATCACAAAGCAACAAGGAAACTAAGCTCTAAGTGAGGAACGGCTAGGTATTTGTCTACCTAGGACACCCATGAATCCATTGCAACATGTAAAGAGAAAAGCAGAATAACCCAATTTCCATCCCTGGTATCCGGAATGAATACAGATTACAGACCTAACCCTGAGCATTTTCTTGCATAATGTGGCCACTCACAGACTCAAACCCTTGTTTTCACACTTATCAACATGAGATTTTACTATTGCCCAATGGCCAAAGCAATGACCCCTAATGCAGATTTAATAACCCTGAGATGCTGAAAATGAGAAATGAGGAAGAAAATACCTTCTTTTTCTGTACAACACGTGAATAACCAAATGCATCTATAAAGTTCTTCCATCCACATAACACAAGAAAAAAGTCTGTCATCCCCATCCATAGTGCCACCTATTTCAGCTGCTGCTTTCGAGATAAAAGAACTACAAAGGTAGGTAGTTGAGTTGAACTTTAGTCCAAATAATTAATTAAAAGTTGCTAAAAAACAGAGGTTCTGAGCATTACCTTCAGCTATACTGCAAAAGCTTTCAATGGGGAAAATTCTCTTTGGATCCAATTTTTGCAATGATGGTAAAGTTTGGGCCAGACAACTTTCACTGCAGTGAACAAAAGCAAGTAATTAAATACTCAAAGTCTTGAACGAAGATATCCAGTCATTTCATATATGAACCCCAGCCCAAGAGGGAATCTATTCCATATAATAGAGCCTTATGCGGAAGGATCCCCAAACCCACCATTTGATGTCTCCTATATGGCAACTCCAAGGGTCGGAAACTGGCCAAATAAAAAAGGCCATTACCCAATGTAAGTCCCAATTGACCAAATAAACAAATACAAAATAATAATGTGTTGGATTCCTTTCAGAGAAAATCTTTGTTGACTTGATAATTAGATACTAATTCACTTTTTTAGCGCAAGACATTAAGAGAGAACACATCAAACAGTGGTCCCATCCCTAGCATGTTTACTAGTAGCTTAGTGCAGGTAGAAATGTGACTTTTTGACCTTAGAATTTATACTGATAAACCTCTTTTGGCATATGTAGAAGATAGAAAGATTAGAAAGTTTTCTAGAAAAATGGAATTAGTTAATAAACCTTTAAGGAAACATTAGATGATTAGAAGAAACATAGTTGCACATTTAAGGCTCAAAAAACCATAGCAAAGAATCATAAAAATCAACAGGAGAAAACTAAGAGACTTCAATAGGTATCTTTCTTTATACCAGAAAAAAGGCATCTTTCTCTATCTCTTTTTTAGCTTCCAGCCATCTTCTCTTCATTAAATATATCAATTACTTGCCATTTTAAATTTTATCCTTTTTGTTACTATATGCTTTGGTGCTTCGGTTATTTGTAGTTATATGCATTTCTCTTCTTCTTTTGAACTATAATGACTTGGTAAGTAAACCGTATGAAAATAGTATGCCAATTATCCAATCACCAATTCTCCAACTGTTCTTTTAGGAAAATATTTTTAAAGATTATGATGATCTTAACGTAATATTGAAAAGTTTTTAATAATATTCTAAAATTTTAAACCATAATTATATAGTCTATCAATGAAATCTGAAATATTGCCAACATATTGGCAAAACATTAGGGATATATGGGAAAAAATTCCCAGAAATTTTTGTATCGACACTCAGAAAAATGGGATATATAGGGGATATTCTGCCAAATATCATTGATATTGCAACCCATGGGTAAGATATAAGTTTTAACCTGGCCCATGAAGGAATAAGTTTCTTATTTGGTATGTCATCTTCTTCTTCCTCTTCCTCTTCATCATCTGAGCCTTGGTATGGAGAAATGTCATATGACTGCTCTAAACATATGTCTGTTGCAGAGGTGCAATCTTCATTTGCTAAATTGGAAGGTACCTGCAAGTATGAAGAGTTATTTAATCAGAAAGTTCTATACAAGGCTCCTGAAAAATAGATGGCTACTAAGAAATTACATAACCCTAGAAAGTAATGACTTAAATCAGCCACTACTTTCTCTAGGAAACAAATAACACTAGCACCAAGATGGAGGAAAGCTCTATACAAGGCTCCAGCAAAATAGATGGCTACTAAGGAATTACATAACCCTAGAAAGTAATGGCTTAAGTCAGCCACTACTTTCTCTAGGAAACAAAGAACACTAGCACCAAGATGGAGGATGAAATGGCAAGTTTACAAGGAGAGTGAACCCATTCTTCAACAGGTCCACGTAGAAGGACTCCTTGACTAATGTTATTCCAATTTGCTGGTTCTAACCTTCCATTCTATTCCACTATTTTAACAATCAGAATTCGGAAGCAGTAATGGCAACTAACCATAAAACCTCAACTGTTAGAAATGACCCATTTGAGGATTACTTTATTCTTATTATAACTTTTTGGTGGGATCTGAATCTCCTTGATAAATCTGATTTGACCATAGGTCAGTGTTCTAAAAGCGCAAGGCACAATAAAGGTGCAGGGGCCTATTTGCACCTGAGGCCCAAGGGATAAGACGAGGCGCAAAAAATACAAAAAAGGCTAAAAAATAAAAAAAAAAATCAGAAAATTCAAATAAATGCCAAAAAATTAAAAAAAATATTAATCATTATATTAATAAAAAAATAGACTTAAATTTTAAAATAAATGTTTTAAAAAACCTATTATCTAAATAAAAATACATAAACATAACATGTAAAGCATATTCAAATGAGAATTTAAAAATAAAATCAAACATATAAAACATTTTCACGCATGTAAAACCCACAATCTCTTTTTTCCTCAATTGCATTACTTCAAGTAGCTAACTTGATGTAAAATATATTACATTCCTGATTCTACGAGCTGCCTTTGTGCCACACCCCTCGAGGCAAGCCCAAACAAGTCCGTGTTAGGGTCTTAAATTCTTAATTCTCATATAAAAAATGATGATTTTATAATTTTAAGTACTTTTTAAGAATTTATTTTATTAGGATGAATGAATGAATAACATTAGCAAATAGTGGGTCCCTCGGCCCAACCGCTAGGTTCAAAAAAAGCAAAAAAGCATCAAATTTTCAAAAAGCACATGTTTAGGGTGTGGCGCAAGGCACATGCCTAGGTGCACCAAGTGTTTGCCTTTTGAAAGGGTTGTGCCTAGGTCCTAGGCAAGGGGCATACCCTAAAATGCACCTTACTTGTGCGCCTAGGCGCGCCTTTTAAATCACTGCCATAGGTGAAATATTATTACATCCCCCCACGCCCACACACACCCCTCATGTAGGACGGAAAGATCTTACCTGCTCTCCATCCAACCAAAGGCACTTCCATGGGCTTCTCCAAGTGGATAAAGTGTCTTTCTTGGTCAAGCATTAATTTTTGAAAATCCAAGGTTTCTTGTGAAACCCTTCCCAGTTTTGTTTTGTTTTTCATTTAGAGGTGGTGCCAAGACTCATCAGCAAGGATGGGTACTCTATTTAGTGTTGCAACTTGGGCAGGCCTAATTGGAGCCCAAACCAACCCAACCCACAATTTTACACGAGTTAGGCTTGGTTTTTCAGCCCTTGGGCTGGGCTTGGGCCCAAAAGTTCAAGCTTTTTAAGTTTAGGGCTGGTCTCAAGCCTAGCCATTAGGTAACCCAAACCCAGCTCAAGCCCGGCCCAACCCGATAACATGCATGTATGCATGCATATATAGACACATATTTGCATGCAAACATGCATATATGCATACATGGATTCATATACACATACATGTATATCAATTTTTAGTGTGTTGATTGACCAACCCAAGACTGGCCTGGGCCCTAACCCAACCGAAGTGCATCAAATTATGGTTGGGGCTGGGGCCCAACCTTAGTGCATCAAATTTTGGTTGGGGCTGGGCTAGGGTTGGATTGTTTGGGCTTGACCTCAAGCTTGGGCTAGTCTCCAGCTTCAGACCCAATTCTTAAGGTTAGGCTTCAGTTCAGCTAAAACATGGCCCAGGCTGCCCAATTTGCACCCAGTTGAAAAACAACCCTTCGAAGTATGGGACTGTATAGGATTAGATGGAAGAATCAAAAGGAGTAAAACAGCTGAAAAGATTGGTAGAAGATGAAGAGAGAGCTGGCGGCAAAGAAGGTTAGAGAATGAGAAGTTCGAACTAATCTCTCCCTCTAACACTCTAACACTATTTCATTAAGTTAATTTTTGAATAATTACAAGGGAGGCCCTTGGTTGGGCAAGAAATTACCAAAAACATAGCATAGAAGAGGAGGGGCCCAGAATAAGGCCCATTACAGAAAAGAACATAAATATAACATAGAATAACAGCCTATGGGCCATTCGGCCCATCTTCTCTACACACCCCTAACTCTATCAGGAAAGGGATGCTATGCATAACTGTCAATTCAATTCTAGGTACAATGGAATGCCAAGTTACCTAGACGAGCATCTAGGAGAAAGAGTTCTACATAGGGAAAAAAGACAAATTATTGGTTCATCCCCTAATTTTGCATACCAATCAGCATGCCATAAGTTGGAAATCATCGTATCTAAGAGACTGTAGTACTTTAAATAAATTAAATTTGATGTTTCAAGAGAAAGTGATGCAATGGGAAAAGGAACAAAGGATAGAACCCTTTTTTTCTTTTTATTATGAGAGAGAGACTGTAAAAAAAAAAAAAAAAGAAGAAGAAAAATCTTTGTCCTTCTCCTCTTTCTCTTCTTAAAGTCATTGGTTCTTTTATGTTTTAACAGAAAATTCCTTAAACAAAGTATAAAAATATAATGTAGGGCATTGCCCCCACCCTAATAATACCCTTTCAAATGGTGATCACTGTCTCTATCACTATTCCCAAGATATCCCATTGGTTATTTAAAAGCTGATTTCCTTTCTCATGAATCCTTGAATTCATCATTCTCAAAATGGTCTAAAACTCCATCCCATACAATGCATGTTGGATTCTGACCATATCCATGAAAGATTGACCAAAAATGTTCTCTTGGACAAAAAAGAGAGTGAAGGAACAAGATATACTTTCAAGTTTGCACTTTGAAGTTGGTAAAGTTTTCTGTACTTGGAAACACTATGATTCAAAATTGTCATCTTCACTAGCTTCATGGATCACAACATGAGAATTTAAGAAATTAGGAGACTAAGCAACAATTTTACCTATAAGATCTACCATCATACAAAATGAAAAATAAAATTGCTTAAAGACTTCTCTAAACATGCAGTAATAATTCCTATTAGTAGCAATTTGTAATGGTAGGCATTGGACAGGTTGAAGTCAGGATTAACTCTTACCTGTCTAACATCATCAAGCTCCTTAAAAGCACCACTATGTTCAGGTACAATGCTTACTTTCAGAGCATTTGCCGCAGAAACTATTGCAGTCCTGGGATCAGTTTCAGTTTCCTTCCTACACTTAGGTCCTTCCTTTCCTGTTTCTATTTTCTGCTGCTTTGCTGGTCCTTCAGTCAACTCCTTTCCCTTGTGCTGTCTCTCATCCTACAGAAGAAAGGACCACAATTAATTTGATCAAAATCAAAGAAACAGAACGCTGTAATTTTATTCTCAAATGAGATCTTACTGCCAGCTGGTGCCTTGGCTCTTTCTCCTCTTTCTCAACACGTAATTTATTCTCATGTTCTCTCTGTTGTCTTTGTGCTTCTACATTGCATTTACGTTTCTTTTCCCTCTCCTTCCTTTCTTCTTCTTCTCTTAGCCTTTTCCTTGCTGCAATTTCAGCTTCCTTTTTCTTCCGGTCTTCTTCCTTCTTTTTCTGTATGTTTTCTTGCTCTAATCTGGCCCTCTCAAGCTTAACTGCTTCTTTTCTCATTTTGCGTTCCTTTTCTCTCTTTTCTTCAAGACGTTTTGCAGTTTCAGCCGCCTCCAAGGCTTTCACTTTAATGTCCCTTTTCCCTGCAGAACAAAAGTCAAAGAAAATATCAAATTAAGATTAAAGAATTAAGTTTCCTGCATTCTTGAGTCTCAGAAATAGGCAGCACCACATGATTCCAATACAACCTAATAATTCTTAATAATAAATAATGAGCTCATCACAATCTGTCATTAGTTTATCACTGTTTCAAACTTTATGCTTCAATTCAATGTGTCCATATTTATAGGACAATCATTAATATGCATGCCTATGGTTATCATAGCAATAAACTGCACCCCAAAAAAAGTTTGTTTATCTGTTTTTGTGTGTTAACTATTTCAAGATGGGAATACTTGCAGATATATAAAAAACTACAATGGGATGATTCTGCTAGTCAGGTCATTTAGTAAAGGAGTCTGAATTACTGAGGAATGTTCCAAGCACTCGCCACTTGTGGAAAATTCCATCTTAAACCCCTTTATCACATACCAAAATAATCCCTTCCTAGGGACCATTTTTAAATTAAAAATTTTGAAACATAGGGTGGCTCATAACACCTGGATAACACTGTAATTACAAGATGTTTTATATGGCTGGCATGGAGTGAATGATGAACTTGTATAATATGCATAGGGTCCCCCCCCCAGTAAATGGACAGCTTAGATCAGACACAGGACTCCTGCACATTCTCCCACTACACCGTCCCCCTCTATCTGTCTATTCATACTAGTAATGACCCATGCAATGCAAGGGCTGGTATTATGATGGGAATATATGTTAACCAAGACCTATTATATTAGAAATAATAATAAATGATAAGAAAATAGATCTTACAGGAGTAATTGAAAAGACATAGAGGTGGGCAACAAACTGGGGGAACTCCTTTTAGAAGGTTAAGAGATGACCAGAAAAGTGCTCCTGAAGCTAGAAGAAAAGGAGAATGAAAATTTTTAATTAACTCTAATGCAGAGTCTAACAAGTAACCTGGAAAGAGTCTTCAAAAGAAACTGGGGAGGACAGAGCGGAGTTTAAAGAAGTGTTACAGGGATCTTTTAAGAGCACTGAGGTGGCTTTGGAGGGTTGGAATGGAGCGAAGGGTAGCAGGTAAGTTTAGTGGAAAGGGTAAATTTATTTTGGCTCTATGAGGTAACACTTGTTTTATTTTCTGATGGAAGAGTGAGGGGCAGCTTGATTATTTGCTAAATGGCAGACAAAATTGTTGTCTTGGTATGTGGAGATGTTTTACTGGTATGGATGTGTCCCTGTGGCTTCTTTTACTTATACTTGTCGTGGTGATATCTTATCATCTGGGATTATATCTTTCTTTCTGTTTCTCTTTGAATGATATTTTTGTTTTACTATCAAATAATAATAATAATAATAATAATAATAATTAAAACTAAAAGAGAAAAAAACATGGGTGCAAGGAGCTACTATGCAACTAAAGACTATATATGAAAGATGCCCCACTCTATAAAGACCCAGACAGGGGTAAATAGTGTAGTCACTTCATCATCATCATCTAATCCTTGTCCCAAGCATATGGGGTTGGCTACATGAATCCTGTTCCATCATTCCATTTTGTTCAGTGCCATATTCATTGTTAAATTATGAGCCTCCAAATCATTTCTCACAATTTCAACCCATGCCCTACCTACTTGGTCTGCCTCTGCCCCTAGCTCTTCTAGCCCCTCCAACTTGTAACAAATCAATTGCATGAACAGTGGTGGATAAAACAACACATTTAAAGCAAATATTCTAGAAAATATGAAATCAATACCATTTTGTAAATTGTAAAAAAATCAATATAATCAGATGTTTTTCATGTGAAAAAAAAAATGTAGGCAAATTAAAGAACCAGCAGTACAATAGAGGGGGTACTATATGAGTTGAAATAAAGGGTTTTGGGAGAAGTTTAGGGAAGGTAAGTATTCAGTTTCACTTATTGAGGAAACTGAGTTGATAGTGTATTAGAGGAAGATTGCCCGGATTCCTTTTTGAGGAAACTGGATTAACATAGTGTATTAGAAGAATAGTTAGTATCGAGTGGGAATTTTATGAGGACGATAAAAAAAAAATTGAGGTGGGAACATTGGGAGAGATGGAGAAAGGTGGTTGATAAGAAAGAGGATATTGAGCAAAAGATTTTAGTAAGTAGTATCTATCAAAAAAAATTAGGAAGTAGAGACAGATGTAGATGAGAGAGGTCGGTAAGTAGCATGGCTCCAGTTGTATCTTACTTCTATATAGGCCATATTGTGATGATTCAGTTTCCCTTTTAGAAGAGAAAAAGGTAATCAAATTGGCTGTGGGTCAGTTGGACATGGGAGCAACAGGTTGTAGACTATTGGCTCATTAGAGGCGACAGAGGAGATATTTCATACTTTTATCTATTGAAAAATAAAAAAAAAAGGAAAAATTTGTTAAGGGGATCAGGAAGAAAAGAGAGAAAAGACAATAGGAAAAAGTGTTACTACAGCCTGGGTCAACTCATGCTTGCAAGTTATAAGAACTGAAATGCAATAGTATATTTAATTAAAGGATTCTATGCACCAGTTAAATTTATAAGCATGGGGAACCAATAATCATCTGTCAATAATAAATCCAGCATTCTCTGGAATCAAGAAGTTAAAGGGTTGTAATTGAGATGAAACAATTGGATTTTGTCTTTAATCCCATATCCAGAAGTTGAATGAAAAATCTCAAAATGGATCTCAATCTAAGCACTGCATTTGCATGAAAAGGAATGGTACATTGTCAAAATGAAGAACATAATCTTACCCATAAGAACTGCAGGTACTTGCTTTTGTTGAACAAGTGGAATAAAAGATGAGATATTAGATACAATATTATTACGCTTAGATCCCTTTTCTGATATACTCTGGCATCCTTTTCCTTCACTTTCTTTGCCTGATAATTTTGGCCTACCAAATCTGCTTTGAAGAGATCCACTGGCCTTCAATGCACAGTTCATACCTACTAAAGAACTTTGATTCTCTTTGCCTTTTTTGCTTCTATATCTTCTATTACTGCCACAGCCATTGCCATCCTTCTGTTTTACATCCATTCGAGTCCCAGTGAAACCAGATTCTGCATTTTGACAATCTACACTACATTCTTTAAGAGGCATGGCTGCAGAAATGGATGCAGGAGGATCTGTAGTGAAATCAACAAGGGGCCCTGTCTTAATGGAACTATTACTTTCTCTTGCATGGGTTCCTTCTTGGAATGGATCAACTACATCGACTGTTTTCCTGGTTTCTTCACAGATAATTGGATCTTCCTCAATCCGAAAGCAAGTAAGCTCAGGGTTTGAACTGCCACTATTGGATTTTGAAGTAATTCTCTGAGAGAGCTTTGAAACTGGAGGGGTGTATGTTGGTTTTCTACTATCCCGACCAAAAAGAACACTAGAAGATGGCATGCAGCTAGAGAATGAACTTCCCAGAAAAGTGTGACCAGCTTTCTCACTCATGCCACTGTAACTGCACTTAGGAAAAGACTGGTAAACATCTGGTGTCATGTGCAATTTATACTTCATTGAAACAGGGGGCAGTGGAGTAAGCATACTACCAGATCTGTAAAACTGCTCCAGAATACTATCCCGTTCTATGGTAGTGCATGGAAGACCCAACTTGTCAAGGTTAACCCCTTCTCCACCAAGGCAGGGAACAGTATTCTCTGAAAGCACACCAACATTGAAGCCCTCAAACTCAGGCATGGCTTGATCAGCACCAACCAAGTCAAGATCCTGGGCAGATTGGGAGCTGACTGAGCAATATGAAAACAACATATCCTCTCCTAGATGACTTCCCTGCATGGTTCCTTCAGAACAACCCAAATTTTCCATATTTACCACATTCAGTATCCTTTCATAGGGTGGCAAACCAATTTCATCAAGGACAGTGCTTGTTGGATCTAGGATACCAACTTCATCCTTCAAGCAACCTCGGGACTTAACAATCACCTCTTTCTCTGAACTAGAATCAAAAGAATACTCTGATTGTTGGTGATTAACAGTCAAGGGGTTATTATTTGCACCTTGATCTTTCACTTCCAATTCAAGTTTACCCTGGCAAGCACAGTTACAGCCATAAGCTTTCCATCAGAATCTCTTTGATAAAACTAGAGGGCATATTTATTTGAATTAGTGGAATCTGTCTAAAATGTATAAGCATGGACATAAAAAAGTAGATGATTTGTATGCATCAATAATCTCGGATATTCATGTCTATGTAAATGTAGATTCATATCAAATAACATTACACAATACTGATTTCTTTATTTGATCATGGGAGTTCAATGGAACACACTTGTCTGATCATGGGCAATTATAGGGGCAGAACATGTATGCCCAACCTTCATCTCACCCCACTAGTGCCATAGACCAGGTGTGAACCCACCATATAATAAATCAATGTAAGAGATATAAGAGATATCCCAAAACAAAGGTCAACTTCATCAAGTCATCCTAATCATTCAATCTAGAATCCACTGATTTTTTGAAACTCCTCCAAAGGTTAAGAGAAGATATTGTAGTATAGGTGATTCCCATTCTAGGAACAACAAATGAGGTATAACCATACTCTGCAGGAAGAAAATGTGACTGGGAGCAAGAAAGACAACAAAGTAACAAATGTGTTCTTTAATATGCAACTTAAATATTGCAATAAGGCCAATCTAAACCCAGCAGTTTCCTAGATAAGAACATCAATTATCCAGTGCCTAGTTGAAGCACATTGTCTAGAGAGATCAGACATCCTTACCCAGTAAAACTTCATTGGGCACCTGGCCAACCTTCACAAGTACCACTAATGCAAACAGTCAAATATTTTTCCATGGAAAAACCTATTAGAGATCATAAAAGAAGATAGCACAAATAAATAGAATTACCTCACTGACATGCCACGCACTTTCCATGCATCTAAGTGCATTATCATTCTCCATCTTCTGAGGTGGCTTAACCCAAGTTAAAACTTTTGGGGAAGCAGTGGAGACATTACTTGATTGACTATCAATCTTTCTCCTTTTATATTGAGGCCAGGAACCCCCAGCAGCATTAGCTGCTTTTGTTAATTGTAAGGACTTCTTCGCAATACGAGATCCATCTGATTTAGAACAACCAGCATTTTGACAAATGCTGGCAGAACTCCTTAGGAAATAGCGTGGACCTTGCTCTACATTGTCGTTTTGACAATTGCTGGTAGAACTCCTTAGGAAATAGTGTGCACCTCGCTCTGAATTGTGGTTTTGGTCAATGTTGAGTGATGCTGCTTTCCTGAGAATACTTCTATCAGAAGCACTTGTTGCAACAAAAGATACATGTGATTTAGAACAATTACCATTCTGACCATTGTCGATTGAGCTCCTTACATAGTTTAGTGCAACTTCATCAGCATTATGATCTTGTTCTAATGATGCGGTCTTCCTGTTGATACTTCTCTTAATTGAATCTGTTCTAAAGCGAGATCCTTCTGATTTAGAACAACTGTCATTCTGATGATGACTAGTAAGGCTCCTTACATGGAAGGGTGAATCTTGCTTTGCATGGTGATTTTCCTCGGTCTCTTCTGCAGTTGTTTTCTCAATGATGCTTTCCTTCATTGCATCTGCAGCAATGACACAAGAGGCCTTAGTTTCATGGGCTCCCAAAAGCATGGTACAGTTCATATACGGGTTAAATCCAGAAATGGCATGGCTATCAGGGTCCACAAAGCCTTTTAGGTGATTACATTTAGATGGTTCAGGATTGTGATCTTCCAGAAATATCTTCATGGGTCCAAGAAGAAGATCCTGATTACATGTCTGAACAAAATCATCCCTCTGTTGGTCCACATTCAAATCAGGAGACACTGCTTCCTTACTCCCAACTGAACTTTTCCTACCAGCTTGCAAGGTAAGTAAAGAATCTGTTGACTGTATCTGATTTGACAGTATGTTACTTTCTAGAGATGTATCAGTAAGTGCACCTTCACAAATCTCATATGCTGCTTTTCCTGATGGCAAGGTAGATTTTGAGGATTTTATAACAGATGTAGAGTTCTCTTGGGGTTTCTCAAACTCAACAAGTTTGAATCTTTCCACTACTTCAGCTTCAGAAGGAGATCCACTGACCTGTTTTTTCCTATTCAAAACCTCCTTCACCTGCTCCTTATCCAAAAGCTCCTTGTCCACATATAAATCACATTTTTTATCACTTGATATAGTTATTTTCTTTAATGATTCGTCAGGTGTTTTTGAAGTAACAGGTCCTTCTTCTGATGAGACTAATTGTATATCCTTAACCAAAGATGGATCAAAATTCTCATTCAAGCTGCACCCTTCCACATCATCAAAGACAAGCTGCTTTGGCTCCACGAATGTACTATCCTCAGAGGGTGGTCTCGAAACAAGAAATTCCAAAGCACCTCTACAGTTAGTCCTATTCATTTTGTGTTGCACATCAGAAATACACTCAGTTTCTGCAGCAACACCATCACATCTTTCCTTGTCAACAATATCACATTGCAGAATATTTACTTGATGATCTGACACTTCCCGGGGATCATGTCCTTCAGCGCAATTCAATGCTTTTGCAATTTCAGAAGATTTATCATCAGGAACAGATCTAGACCATGTATGTGTATCAGTTATTGGGATATCCTCACTAATAAAGCCTCCATTGCTTGGACACCTTTCTTTATTTGTTCTCAGGCAATTAGAAAATTCCAGATCCTTTTCTCTTGACCTGGATTTGTGGATGCTTGCTTGAGTACCTAATGCATTCTGCAACTCAACATCTTGCCTAGACCAACCAGATGGTTCACCAATAGAATTAAGATGCATAGAGGCAGATCTATAACTTGCAACTCTACCACTACCATCATAAGCATTTTCAGAAGAATTATGTAATTCTGCTAACTCTTTGACATTGTTAGGCTGTTTGCAAGAAGTTTCAGACTTTGCACTTCTGCTGGAGTGCATATAGGCACAAGAATTCTTTTCTTGGCTTGCATGCTTCCTTGATTTTGCTTTTGCCACACTACCAGCACTTTCTTTAGCAACATCAGAAAATTTACAGAATTCCACTGGCTCCTTGACACTATCAGGCCATTGGCAAGTATTTCTAGACCTTTTGCTCAAATCTGAATGAACATTGGTATCATCTTCCTTGCGTGGACGCCCTCCTGTTTTTGTTTTTGCACTGTTACGAAGCTCTAGAGCCTTTTGCCTCGACTTGGACCTTTGAATCCTTGCCAGTGATTGGCCCGGATCGAAGCAAGTATTTGAGACCACAGCATCTGTTTGAGTTTGAGGAGAACTAGCAATAAAGCTTAGCTCAGGAACACTGTCCAAAGTGCATTCCCGTCCAAGATCACTCTCATTGAGATGGCACTTAGGCACCACTGTTAGCCTATCCCCTACCTCAAAATACTTGTTGGAAGCACAAGTTTCTGTAAAGAAGTCATTGCAAAACTGTTCATTATTTGTTGTAACAACAGGTTTGTTGTAAAGTATGCACTGCCCACTAGCAATAGAGACTGTGGATTGTGGAGGTCGGAGTAGGAGACCTGAGATTAATTCTTCTTTCTTCATCTCTGCAATGAGATTAACAATTGTTAAACAAGAACCCGACTTTGGACACTCAGAGGAGTTGATAATGATAGCTGTTGCTTTCTGACACCATAGCCTCATGATTAAACCATATAACAGGCATCAAGCAATCTTCAAGTAAAAAAACAGATCCCATTTCCAGGAAAAATAAATATATAAAATAGATTATAAGTAAAAGATTCCAGCATAATCATAACTCTTAAGCCTCTTTTGGCAGGGAAAATATAGTCTAAGATTATAATAGACGTTAATTTTCCTCTGGACTTTTCCAAGGAAATTATTTCCAATTATAAAAAGAAAACGTCATATTAATATGTACAATATATAGGAATAGTATTTGATTAGGAAAAAGTTAACTTCTTGAGAGATTAACATTTCACTGCAGAAATTACAATTTAGTTTTTTTTTTCTTTTCATTCAGTCATAAACTTGTGCAGTTTGCTATGAGACGAGCCACTGCCCAATTATGGTTCCAGTTGTGATTTTCAGGAATGACTATCTAGGCAGATTGCGCACTTTTTATTCCAGACAAGAATTCTTCCTCGAACTTGCAATTTTGCTACTCGAAAATAACGAGAGCAAACAAGCATTTGGAACTTGTGTGGCATCTAAACTAGAAAAGTTGTGTTTTTCAGAAGAAAACGAAGGTCAAATATCGATCATAGGTAAAATTTCTCTCCTTGCACAATAAGGATTAAGTGTTAACTTCACTAGAAATAGTAAGATTTTAAATAAGATGTTGAGTTAGGAAATGCTTGCATAGAAATAACAATTCCAATTTCAGGCTTTAAGAAAAACTCATAGGCAGAAGAAGTGTTTCTGACATCCAAGGACATATAAACTCTGATGCGAAACTAAACTTGAATGGAAGTGAGAGATGCTACTTATACATAATACAAAGATGCATCCCAGATTCTGTCAGAAGAAGAAGGAGAAGCTAACCTCAGTCACACCCGTCTCCGAATGGGTACAGTTAAAATTCAAAAAATTTTATATCCTATGCCAAATTCACATGAATTCTCTCCGGATTGCAACCAGTTAAGTTTAACATATAACCGTAATGCAACTGACAGAGAAACAAAAACCTAATACGAACAAAGATTGAAGCGAAAACCCGGGAGGGCATGGAAGAAAAAGCAAAGAAGATCAAAAGAATCATACCTTCCAGATCTACACATCCATTTCCGAATCCAGCGTCCTCGAACCACGAAGGAGGATGCCGGATTCCATTAATCAAAAGTTTTGCAGCAAGGTGCTGCTCGTATAATTCTTTCTGCTGCTTAACTTGCTCGATTATCCAGTTCTTTCTTTCGAAGATTTGAATGAATAGTTTCTCCAGGGTCGACATTCTCAGGCAAAACCGACGAAGATGGCTGAGAAGTGGAACCCTATAAAGACATCAGACGCCGAGCTTTCACGGTCAAATTAACATTTTCGACTCTGGCCATTGCAGACACCGGATAGAGAGAGATGTGTGACGGCCCTGAAGACCTGAAGCGCGATTTGTCCGAGGCGTTTATTAGAGGATTGGTCGCCGGCGAATTGGCAATGGGCCAATGGTGAATCATGAGCTCTGAGAGCTCTAACGTTGATCGACAGGACAGTGGAGGTAGTATTGTCATTGGCGCGGATCCAAATTTCAAATTTGGAATCTGGAGTCGCTTCCGGAATCGGAGTAGGGCTGCAACTTGGGCTGGATTGGTCCGAATCCAACCCAAAAGGTCGGGTTGGTTGTGTCGGGTTGAAGTTCGGGGGTTGAGGTTATGGTTGAAAATGATTTCCAAAAAAATAAGTTGAATCCTGGCCCAAGGACACTATTTTACCGTCCAAATCAAATACATACTTATATAACACACACATATGAAGGAAAGCCCTTGAGACTAGATATTTTATCCTTAAAATACATGGCATTTTATTTCTTCAAGATTTGGGTTTTCCTTTTATTTGGATGAAGACAACTTTTTGCAAGTTAATGGTCCAAATCGATGCAGGTGTTTGCACTCATAAATATAATATTGCAGCAAGCACAATATTGCAAAAATTATAATGTAATAAGTGTAAATAAAAAATTAAGGCTCAGTTAGGAAGCAGTACAAATGCAAATAAAGATAGAGAGAGAGACATGCAAACGATTTATAGAGGTTTGGCATGCTGAGCACATACTTTTATCAAGCTAGGAATAATTTTGTTTAAGAATTTTTATCATTTACTTTGATCAAAGTTTACACCACCTAGTTGGTTTGATGCTAGTACCACCTAGTTGTTCGGTGCTAGTCACACCTAATAGCTTGGATCCCAAGATGCTCTTTTAGCAGCTGTTTAGCATCGTTGTCATCTCCTGGAGTAACAGCGCCACATAGGAAAAAACGGTGCTCCAGGAAACGGGTATTTGTTTGGAACCATTTTTTCATAAAAAACGGTATTCTAAGTCATACCTCGAAAATCGGGAAGTCATGGCTTGGAGCAACGTCAAATTTGGCATTTCCTAGAGTTGCAGCTCGTTGCTACCAATAGGGCAATGATGTGGCACTGATGTGGCAATGGATAATGGGTACCAGTGTTGAAAACGTTTCATGGAGCATTAGTACCAAACAGACAAAGTAATTGTTGCTCCAAGAAACATTCTATCTGACAGTAACGATTCCAAACAAAAATAAAAACACCATTTTATCAGAAAAGGGTGCTTCAGAAAACGGTGCTGCATCTGCAGCATGGATGCCAAACATATACCTAATGTCCGCCTAGTTGATAAAGTGCTATACACACCACAACTCTATTCGATCGTTCTCCCAAGAACTATGCTACTAAGCGCAAATAGTTGATTAGTGCTGGCCACACCACGGATCTCCACTCTTCTCATACGAACTTTACTACAAAATCAGGTTAGTTGATCTGTAGCCACACCACAAGAGAAATCCTAGCTTTGCTTCTCACTCACAAATTTCTTAAAAATTGTCTACAAAATCAATATTGATGCTACCAAATATTACAGCAAGGGTAGTTTTTGAATTCCCAAAGTGATCTAGCCGATGGTCCCAACTCGTTAGCACACAAAAAGACGTTAGAGGCCTTAGGGTATGGCCTTAGGGGCAAAAATTCCGACTATTAAGTTAGTTGAGGTAATTAAGAGCCAAGATGACAAGGTGAGTGAAGAACAAAAGCAAGTACAGAAGCAATAGTGCAAAATAAAGTTACATGTGGCTCAGGGTCCTTGCTTATATGCGAGATCCTCTTGATGGTTGCGTTATGGGTTATTTACAAGGCTGCAACTTGGGTCGGGTTGGCCCAAATCCAACCTGAAAAAGTTGGATTGGGTTGGGTTGGATTGATGCTCAGGTTAGCCCCCACCACATAGTATCATGTATTTCTTTTAAGATATTCACTTCAATTAATCCAAATCGGAAAGACTAAAACCTTAATAACTGAAAGAATGGTAGGATCCATCTAATGGACGCCACAAAGGTTGCGGAATGGGTGGACGAATTTCAAAAATTTTCCTACCTTCTCCCAACTGGGAATCATATTCCCTAAATTTAGAATACAATATTCAAGGATTCTACTTGAACCATAATCAAACCAGATCTGTACCAAAAGACAAATGGGAGGAATATACCTGATCCGGAGAAGCAGTATCTCCCAAAGTTGGTGTTCACGCCCAAAGAATGCACCAATAACCGTTCCTGCTGAAGATGACACAGCTGTGGATGGAACAGAACCAGCAAGGTGCATCCTACACACTGGATCCTTCACAAGAATCCTCTGGAAACACTAAACACTGAATCTTTTTAGTCTTTGTTGCAAGACTAATGTCAAGAACAGATTTCTTGACTTTCTCTTTTTCTACAAAGATCAAATCTTTGAAGGGTATATGGTGGCGGCAGGAGGAGAACTCCAAGAGCGAAAAAGGGTTGAACTGCTTCTTCTTCCTTTTCTGGAGTATGAATGAGATCTTATCTCAAATCGCAGGAGATATCCTATATCTCTTCAAAAATGGTTCGAAATCTGATGATTTCTCTCTCTTAGGGTTTCTCCTCCTTTCTTCTTGATTAAGAAACCTTCTAATGAGGAGTTATCACAATCCAAATCAGTATTTGGATAGGGGATTATCTTAATCCTATCTGCAGATAAAGTCAGCTTACTCCTGATCTTATCAGGAGGTTACCAGATTCAAATCTAATTTGAATTTGGTCTCCAAGAGTGGATAAGG